GGCCAGTCACAAGTAACAGGCTGAGCAATGACAAAAGAATGCTTTTGTCTTAGCTCATTTGAATAGCTTGTGAATTGGCTTGAGAATGAATGACTTGTGATGGGATACCGTGCACGATACGGGGCCGATGGGTACCCCCCATGTCCAATCCCTATACACACTCTAGACTATTGTTAGTCAACACATCCCCCCAGAAGTCTGTAAGGAATTCCTGAGACTCTGATCAAACAATGACCAACACAAAGGCGGGGGGGGGTTTCTCTCCACCCCATATCTTGCATCATATATGTGATGGACTTAAAGGGACGTGTGATGGGCTCAAATATGTACATCCTACAATGTGGGTAAAAGTCAAAAGCAAGCACGTGGTCACATTATCCTACTTCCTTGTCAACAGAGGGCGCACTGAACCAAATTAATCCAGAGCTGTATATAAAGTAGTGCCAACTTTGGAGCAAAGCATCCAGCTATTGTGCGCTAATTGTCCATGTGTGTTGATGCATAATCCACCATTTTGGTTCAAAAATTCAGACACTCATGTCGCAACTCTCCATAAACAGCCCTTGACAACTTCAGCACTACATCTGCATCAGATGCCAACCCCCCAGATTTTCAATAAGTCGGAAACCAAACCTGCCGGTAACAATATTTCAGAAAATTGGTTAGAAACTACAAAGTTTGCAAAAGAAGAAAAAGTTGCTGCATGAAAAATGTTACATAGCACCCAAATACATCCTTGTAGCCTGATGGGTGGGTCTTTGATCACATGACGCTGCATAATCCTCCGCTCCCCAAAACAAGAAACAGATGCCTTATTTTATTGTAAAGGATAAGAGATTTATTCAGAAATCATTCACATAAGAGTTCACAAATATATTCAGAATTATCCAGCCAGTGTATGACAAATGTAATGACTGTTTTGCGTATTAACCTTGATGGAATCTTCATGAACAAAATCCATTTGCTTTGGTGATGCAGATGCTTGTCTCATCCACATTCATCAATTTGAAAGGGAGACTTCGAAATGCTTGGTGGCGGCAAACATACCGGTCCTTCTTGCCCAGTTCTGAACACACCCATGTTGTTCTGAGCATGCCCGTGTAATTCTGAGCACGTCCGTGTTGTTCTGAGCACGCCCGTGCTATTCTGAGCACGTCCGTGTTGTTCCGAGCATGCCCGTGTTGTTCTGAGCATGCCGGTGTTCAGAGCACGTCCATGTTGTTTTGAGCACGCCCATGTTGTTCTGAGCACACCCGTGTTGTTCTGTGCATGACCTTGTTGTTTTGAGCACGCCCATGTTGTTCTGAGCACACCTGTGTTGTTCTGAGCATGACCTTTTTGTTCTGAGCACGCCCATGTTGTTCTGAGCATGCACAATACTGTGAAACACGACCTGTATGTCTGCTGCCACCAGTGTCTCAAAGTCTCCCATTGTTATGCAAGGTACTATCAGATATCTCACAAGTTTCAAACTTTGTTCAGAGCAAGACCTGTTTATCATTTTTACTGGAGTGCTGTATAATTTTCCACATGTGCAATGCATAGCTTATTCCCAACGTCATATTTTAAATTATTCATTATCAATTCAATTATTCTAAATGTGGTGCGCACATGGAAAGCCTAAATGTAAACTGTGCACTGTACAGTGCTTTCACCATAAAAGGTCTCCATTTTACAGTGACTGACATAGTCCCAAGTCCGTGCGGTACTTTTGTATGGTATATGTACAACACATGTGAATGTTTACCATGAGAAAGGTACATAGAATTCTGTAAATCGGTCTTGCTTACAGAGTAATGAAGTGAATACTTCACATGCACAAGCATGTGTGTAAAATGCACATGTGCGAGGACCAGTGCGTGAACCAACATGCCTGCGTACTCCGTTTGTCAGCACTACACATCTTGGTTCAAAATGGCGTCACACTTCGGTACCCTATATCGTCACCAACACCACGAAGTAGCACTCAACTGCACTTGCATGCTACCTCGAATACCTCGTTTACAGCAATTGGGGTTTCACAAAGTAGCACTCACGTGTACGCGCGCACATTATACACTGATGCATAATCGAACAATTTGCATTCTCACAAAGTAGCACTCATGTGTATTTTGTCAATATAGCATGGATAAAAACGCTTTGAAAGGTCTAAAATGATTTGATTCACCCGTAAATATGTGACTTAACTAGAAGAAACTCTTAAAACTCGTTCCAACAGTTTAAATTAAGGAAAAGGTCAGTTCCAGAAAACAACAATTCACGGAGCAGGTGCCACACGACACCGAGTGCTGTTTCGTGAAAATGAAAATAGCGCGTTACTGTAAAATATGCGGTGCAAAATTCAATGGATGAGCACCACTTTGTGGTGTTGATGACCAAAACAGTAGATGTACCAGGCCAGTATGTGAATCGTATCTCGCTTCATCCCCCGGTCATCAGCTCTTTGTGTTCTGCCCGTCGTCGGTTGCGGTGGTGGCATCGGAGAACTTTCCGGCTTCAAAGTCGGCTCTGACCTGCGGTGCGATGCAGGCATCAAAGAGCTCCCTCGCAGTGACAGGAGGCTGCTCGGTGTCGGGGCATTTGTGGGACACGTAGGGCTTCAGCTACAAAACACGACAAAGGATTTGTAACAGATGTGAGGGGCACATGTCTTTATATTGTTGTCCCTTTTCACATGATGTGGATAAAACTTAAAGGCACCTATAGATAAACTTGAGCAAGTTCAGTTGATGACCACAATAACTACATGCACTGTGCGACCGACATTAACCAAATGATGGATGGCTTCAACCATCTACCAGTGGTCGACTATTTTCACATGTGCAAAATTGCAAGTTAATTATATTTGGTAATGACACCAAGGATTCCTCAAAAGCGCCCTAGGCACTGCAGCTCGCAAGCCTAAAGAAACCAGTAGAGAGGAGACATTGAGAAGCTGTTGCAGTTTTAAAGGTGCATGTAGGAGGAAAACCCCAAAAGAACATTTGGGGTAAAACCCACGGAATCATGTAGGGACTGAAAACCCAATCCACATGTGGACCACCGGTGACTGGCGTCCTTATCTTAGGGCATTGTCACCGTTAGGACTTACTGTGAATCCTTCCAGATTGGGCACGACGATCTCTGGGATCATCTCCTTTACGTTCTTGAATCTCACTGCAACGGAAAGGAGCGAAAAAAGCAGGCATGGATTTTTTTGAGTAGACATTTCATGTGCATGCACTCAGCCTACAAAAACAGGGAATGAGTCACAGGAATCACATGAATAACATTGAAACTAAAGCCAGTAAATATCAAAGTTGTAATAAGTCAATTGCAAGTCCAATCACTGGACAAGTCCATTAAGAGCATATTAAAAGTCAAGGACATGCACAGTACAGTCGAACCTCATTAACCACTTCATGCCGGGGCATTTTTCAATGTTGATGATGCTGGGCCGGCATGACTATCATTTTTTCCTTTTTCAAATCCTTCAAAAATTCATCATTTCATTTAACGGTCGTTTATAGCCACAACAAGTAATCTTTAGGCACTACTCGAAGTTGACAGGTGACCTTCATTGATGGCCGAGTATTTCAGCCAGGCCAGCAGCCTTGTAAACAGAGCCCAGATTGTGCGGTGTTGTATAACTGTCTTTTGTTCACGAACCTGGCTTAGTGCACTGCCAACCTCTTTTCAATAGGGGCCAGATTAGCATGCAGACGTGCTGTGTGGCTCATCGCTGCGGTGGTGGAGCATTTTTGTCCCTGGTGGTAATCCGCTCGCTCTCAATGCCCCAAACCCTGGTATAGGGTTTCAAAACAAGGCTGGATTATCACCACTTTTGAGAGTGAAAAATGTTGGTAATGCCCAGCAGCCTCGTCTTTTGTTCGGAGTACGGTCTTTTGTTACAGGGCCCTGTTTCCTTTGTCCGAGTTCGGAGACCCCGGGAACCAATATAAACCATACGTCTCCGATCCCGGAGTCCCCGGCAGGAAGTGGTTAATAAAGGTTCTCCGGACTCGACAAATTACCTTGTAATAACAGGAACCTCGTATTATCAGGAATGAAAACAAGGGGAAAAAAAGGGTTGGGACCTAAAATTTTCCTTGTTATAAGGAGACTAACAAGGTTTGACTGAGCACAAGGTGTTATAGCCAGCCATTTTAGAGCAGGACAATTTAGAAATGGCAGACAGAGGGAGCGAAGCAACCGAAGTCTCATGAGTCACGGCCGGCTGTCCAGGGGACTCTAGATTGCTTTACATGAGTTTTTCTTTCCAATATAGATTAAGAGTTCAAATCTTTCTAATTCTCCAAGGTAAAAATACGAAACTTTCATAGTGACTAATTTTTTTTCTGGGATTTAGAAGGATTTTTGTGCTGGCCGGAGGGCTGTTCCATCAAGTTCAGTGCCAGACGGTAGAACGCTGTGGGAGAGATCCCTGACCGGCACCAACTAGCGTAGCTACATGTACATGCATAATACTAAGTACATGAACATACACATTTTGTACAATTCCCTCTTAGAGAAATATAGCACTGTTATGAAAAAAAATTGATGCAAAGAACAATTTCTGATGGTCCTTTAAACGGGTTGTGTGTTATTTTTAGCCTCATGTACGTGTCCAGCTAAGGAATTTGGACCCGGCCTCTGTACATACTGTACATGTACATGTCCCTGTATACCCATGGGAATGCCGCTTGTTTCAAGTGGGAAATTCAAATCACTGCCTCATTCACAAGATACGTTAACTATTCCCCAAAATTGAAGTGAAACTTCAAATTGGGAATCAGATAATGAATACCATTTTTCTTTGCTGGAATTTCTGAAAACTCTGTTGGCTAAGGAGTTTGGTTTCTTTATTAAGTTGTTTGAGGTGTTGGTTCAGCTTTCATACTTACTTCCTATCTTTAGTCCTGTTGGCTGAATCCCCCGACCTGATGCAAGGAAGAAAGTTGAGAACCTTTGAATAAACATACATGTACATGTACACACACACTTATGTATACTTGTGGGGTATTTCCTTTGTTCTCGTGTACAAAACTCCCACACAACACGGAAAAAAATTCAAATCACTGCCATATCAACCAAATTCAGTTTCCTGGGTTGAAATTTCGACTGTATGTCCCTTATATAAAACACTTCAATTTGTGAACTTATGAACGGTTCTTGAAAATTCATCCTTTTTGAGTAAATTCGAAATATCTATTTCGTGAAATATACTTGTGGGGTACCACTTTTGTACCCCACAAGGATCAGAACTGGCCTTGTGGGGTACCTTCCATTGTTCCTGTACCCACAAGGCACAATGTACAATTACAAGCGCATTAGCAGTTTGCAAACTAAAGTTTGCAAGTATGTGGGTATCCTTAAAAAGTTCTAAGAAAATAATAAGGGCATATTACCATTGATAACACTGTATAAGCCATTAATTCGAGTTCTCGAAGTAGCCAGATATGAGATGGCAGCGCTATGCGATGGCGAGACTAAACATGACATGCTTGACACTTACTCGGGTGAAAATGTTTATTCCCCCGTTTGCTGGTCATCTCCTTGTGCCTGTTCGCTCCTCGGTACAAACCTCTAATCAGATCTTTTATTATTGGCATGGTTGCTTTTATTTTGAAGATAAATTGCACAATGTTTGCAGAAAAAAATACACAAACGATGTGCGCCTGCAAGAAAAACCTAAAATATATTGCGCCCTCAATAGCTAGCTCAAGAGAGGCTGACAAAGAGGTCAAAGTTTAGTTACATATTTATTATAAATAATCTTTATTCATATATCTACGGTGACGAAATGTAAATGAGGATAAACAGTCAAATGGATTGTGGGAGGTACGCCATTTTCGTGTGAAGATATCCCTATTTACACTATGTTTTCTTGGCACGCGGGTATTTCAGCTGTTGCATTTTACAATGTCGTAGTACTGTTGTCCTGAATCTGCAAACATAACTTCAACTCAATCTGGTAGGTATTACAGGCTGACTTCATAACTTGCTTTTGGCAACTTTCTCATCGAAGCTGATTCGTCATTGCCTAGTTTTCGGACAGTCACATTGCCCATCATTGGTTGCATGACCTGAACCATGACAGAACCTAGTTTTGGCAAGAAGAAGTAGTCGTGACGGTTGGTCCTGCCCATCAGGAATTTTCGAGATTGGTAGAAGTGAAGATATGGACGTGTTTTGCCGTTTTCAACAGCTTATTTCATGTATTTAGGCCCTAGCCACTGAACAATTTATCATGTTTGGACATGATGGAGTTCTGTTCTCTATTCTCGAGGTCGGAGGTTGTTCCATTTGTTGCACTCACGTTTGGGCAAAGGGGAGGGGGCAGCTCTATTCGCATTGTACAGGGATTTGCACGTTTTCCTCTTTTTTTTGGTAGCAACGTGATAAAAACATTAAAACCTTTTCAGTAAAGTGTGGGAAATGAAATACATGTAGGCCTACTGATGTACATGTAATGATGTAGGCCTAGCACATAAATAGTAAATTTGCAGGCAAATTTGAAATTGAAAATTAAATAGAGGAGCCACAAATACAATGCACAGTGTGCTTAGAAAGAAATGAACAGCACCCTCATTCATTTTCAGCCTAGGTAAGCCTGCATATGTACTTGTACTAGTATGTACATGTATGTGGCAATCTCTGTTGTTTTTGCCACTGGTCCGATTTTAGTGTTACAGCGCGGCTGTGTTGGTATTTCCCCATGTCTACAAATAACAGAAATTTCATGTAGGCCTACCTAGATTCCCATTTTTCATGACGTTTTCTTGTCTACAGGAAGTACATGTACTTTTAGCCTACAGAAGGCTTGATGACATACATGTAGATCACAGGTCGGCAAAGTTGTCTTATCCAGAGAACATTTTCAAACAACCTCATAGAGCGTGAAATTATGGTCGGACATCGGACATTTTCCGAGCACTTACTGTGTTTGTCTGAACAAAATCAAAGATGCTCAGACAAAACGTCCGATGAACATACAGTGTATCAATACTTGAAATATAAACATAATATATGGGATTATGGCTTCCGATTTATTATTAGTTTGTGTTAGAATTACATGTACATTCATCAGGGCTGATCACTCATCACTGGCCCATGTCACCCAACGCCACGCATGCACAGTATGTATACTTTACTTGCACAGACATGAAATGGCACCATAACTTTGCTATCACAGTGGTGAAAACACTGTAATTTTTGGCCTAATAACAGACTGCATGTATGCAGTAGGCCTTAGTTAAATAACAGTAATCAGGGATGCTGAGAAATCTTTGGCAAGTGTTGATCCACTTCGAGTAAGCAAATTTATGACATGGCCTGCCCAATTGGGCAAACTTAAAAAAAAAAAATTGTCACGGCCCGCGCCCGAACAAGGATTGCTCAATGTGGCTGCTCGTGCGGTTCTGGTAGGACATGTAGGACCAGGAGAAAAAGGGAATTTCGACCTCTGACACTGTACATGTACGTTACAACTCTGCCTTTTATATAATGTGGTACTGTTCATTGGCAGATCAAAAGATGGTAATGGCAGAACAAAATTGAGTGTGTTATGACATTTTGTCCGAGCACTTTTTTGGTCTTATTTCGCACTCTGACCTCGTCTGGGTCAATTTTATCAACATACATGTAATATTCGTCAAAATTGTCGATACTTCTATCAAAGCTGTGTTTAGACATTCTCTTTCCTATGAACGATCAATTGTTTATGTTTTAGTTGATTTGTGAAATTAAACAGGATATTATCGATCATGTCCATCAGCACGTTGCTTTTTTGGCCTGTAGGGTGTTTGACCTGCTGTAGTTGGACTGATTCCTGACTGTGCTACAAATTTCACTGCAGTTGTGGCAATGAAGTTATTGTTGTTTTTGCTTACACATGTGTGATAAAATTTAATGGATATTTTTAAAGTGTATCTATAGATGTACTGATGATAGATTATTTATTGGGAAGAACTGTTCAAACTATTACGTTTGAAGATGAAAAAAAATTGTGTTGCTACAATTTTACTAGGAAAGTAAAGCCATCTGCTAATTGTCACGTATCCTGAATACAACTTCCTAATTGGCTAAGAGTCCGTCATCAGCTCTTCTCAGCCGACTTGTTTTTCTGGTTTTAAGTGGACATGGATTTTAAGGCAATTATAGTATAAATCCATAGTTTTTTTTCTTTTTTAAGTACTTTTTAAAAATTCTTCTCAGATGTCACTTACGGCTTGACCTGCATGAGTGTATGATCCCGAAGAATGGGCCATGAGATACATGTAGATTTAGGTAGATGCATGCTAGTTCACTGGTAATTATAATGTACATTTGTTTGGTTCTATCCATTAAGACGCGTACAAACAGGGCAGCGAAATTCTCCAAATACATGTATCTTGCCAATGAAGGGCAGTGAAAACGTGTCACCCAGCAGGCAATGCTTCCTTTGGTGTTAAGAAAAGCCTGTTGGTTTCACACAAATCTGGATCTCGATATCTCCATCAGTGATCCGAACATTGAGGCAAGTTTTGTGTCTGTAGACCAACATGATAGATTGCCGATCGTGATCCAGATCCATGTGAAACAAACGTGTGGCCCGAAGGTAATGGTGTTTTCAAATGGAACAAATTATGAACAGATTTTGAAAATGAATTTGGTTGATGTCGAACCACTTTGTACTGTGACCATGGGGCTCAGGGTACGGAGACACTCCAGTACATGTACCTGAGCCCCATATACACATATGGGGCTAGTCCTGGGGAAGAAACTGCCGTGTAAGGTTCTGATTCCAGCATACACTTGTTTTAATTTGTATTCACGGCCCTTGGATGACAGGATATTTGTGGAATTTCGAAAGGCCCCTCCAAACTCTGCTGTTCAAATGTCAGTAATGCTAATGAGGTTGGGCATGCTGCACATGTACATGGACATTCCTTAATCCTCCAAAATCCTCAAAACCACTCCAAGGGTTTTGGAGGAATGAGGAGGGATTGGGTTAACTCTACCTGTGCATACCGTTACCCTGTAGCTGTATAGTGGCACCTGCCCAGCTGAAGTTGGGAAAGATGCCAATATTTCAAGGGTGTCGTCTTGGAACATTTTACCTGGGGTTTTTCTCCCACCTCTAGACTGAAGATTTGAGTTGACTTGCATTTGCGATTCACATTGAGTCCTTGCGTTCTCCACATTGGCAATGATGGCCCATTGACTTTTCATGCTGGAAGTGATGTGGCAAAATAAACCTATTGTTATGTGTAGCATTAAAATGCACAGGTCTCCAACAGTGTAGTTTTGACTAGAAGAATTCAGAGAGGGAAGTCTTCCCAGCTCACCCTTCTGGTATGTTTTCCTTGTGTTTGGGGGAAAAATTACGTTTTGCAATATACTACATGTAAAATGTACATGTACCTAAACACGGTCGAGAAAAACACGCCAAAATATACAGTAGATTACTTGTACATGGACACACACCTATGTACTTTGAATACAGCGGTTTCACAACAGTGCGCCACCAAGAGTTGGTTATGCATTAGCCAATCACAATGCGCGAAATTTGTCGACCAAGTGTGCATTTGGAAAGGGTCGACAAATTTGGCGGGTTATCATCGGCCAACGCATTGCAAACTCCTGGTGGCGCACTATTGTGAATCGCCCGTATTATATTTTAGGGATGATCCATGCCAACTTTAAAATTTGCTACGTGTACAGTAACAGTCCATCAGTTTTGATCCATTCTGCATTGAGAATGGTTGGTTCTCTTCTTTTCATTCCCAATCGATAATGGCCCATTTTCCCCCCCAACCAACAGCGTGCTCAGTCATGCATGCCATCACCATGGCTATATGTGCACTGTATACTCGGTGTTTAATCCCGCCCACGTGAGGCCCAGCCCCCTGTGGGTATTGATCGGACACTGTGGAAGGCATATTGCATTATTGATTGCATCATGTCTTAAAGTCTGGAGCTGTAAGCTGTTAATGTATGTTGGTTGAAACATCAATATTGTTGCCTTGAGAAAATGATGGTTGTTGGGCATGGAATGCACACGGTCTACAGACAGCACTTTAAACTTATTGGACATAACATGTTCACATAAAAACATTATACATGTAGTGTACATGTAAACGTGTGTGACATGCTTGTGATTTATCTTCTTAAAATTGCTTTTTGAGCAATTTGAAACTACATGTATCTTCTCCAGTGTATGAAACTGTTTGAAATCCTTTTGGAGTTACACGTAAGTTACATGTAACATGCTTTGAACATTTCCAATCAAGCAAGCTCTTTGGGGCAAGTGAGGGCACTGTCAGTGTGATGTAACTCCAGGAAGACGCTGTTCAGTCTGTGCTGTGCATGTTGTCATGCTCATATATAGAACCCCAACTTTGCTCTTTGAAATCAGTTCTGAGAAATGTTTGAACGCTTCCTTAATACAATACAACAAACTGCAAAAGGAAATAGAAATCTTTGACAGCAACAGTACAAATACTTATGTAATTTATGCAACATTTCTGGTTGAGGTTTAGTGCCTTGGGATTACAAAAGCATGTACATGTATACAAGTACAGTGTACATGTATGATAAATTTACCAGTAAGGGCTGTATTTTTACCAGGTACATGACATACATGTATATTACATGTATTACATGTAGTTTGCTTCAAGCCATGCATGTGCATATAAAGGCACCGGTACAACTACATGTACATGTACCGGTATTCACCAGTTCATATTACCCCATGTTACATTATTCTGCCTTAATACCACATGTTACGGCACACTATTCTGGCCTAATCATGTTAATACCACATGTTACATTATTCTACCTTAATAACACGTTGCATTATTCTGCCATAATACCATGTATTACATTATTCTGCCTTAATACCAGATGTTACATTATTGTGCATTTTTTTTCAGTAGGCCTATTAATTTGTCTCTTGTTTCTCTTACAGCATAGTCTGCATTTTATTCTTGATACTGTGGCCCACAATAAAAAAAAAATGCTGCACAAGGGATGGATCAATCCACTGCCCCTGCTTCCAAGCCCAGCTCCGGTCGCATCATATCTCACAATATCCACCTTCTCAACGACAGCTATGATGATCAAGAAACAGGAAGCCTTCCTTCCCAGCAGAAGCCTGAAGGTGATGGACTGCACCAGGAAAACCTACCGCCCGCAGGGAGCAGAGCAATGGCATTAGATAACAGCATGGGAGGGGAGTTGCCGGGGGTTGAGCAGCCTGATGTGGGTGACAGGTACTCAGAGCAGTTCAGAGACTCACTGGATGAGCGTCCCGCGAGCAACTCGTCAGCTGACAGTCGTGGCATGGATGACTCTCCCATTGATGAGAATCCTGTGAACTCTCAAGATAGCCTTAAAGTAGAGAAGCAGTATCAGGATGATTTGAAGGAACGGGTCAGGCAGTCCTTTAAAGATCTCGGAATGGAGCCTGAAGGCATCCTCAGGGACAGCCTTGAGGAACCAAGTAAGAGTGGCAAGAGAAAGAAGAGAAAGCCCACATCTAACACAGAGGCCAACACCACAGGGGACAGTGGTGAAGACGAACCATCCGATGATGGTAATGAGCCTACTAGTGATGTCCCTGCCAACCCTGCTAGTTATGCAGATGAACCCTCCAGGCATGCAACTGAGCCATCGGACAGTGCAGATGACCGTGCAGCTCCTGCAGATGAGCCCACTGGTTATTCAGATGAACCTGCTGGCTATGCAGATGAGCCTGCAGGTTATTCAGATGAGGCTGCTGGCTATGCAGATGAGCATCCTGGTTATGCAGATGAGCCTTCTGGTTATGCAGATGAGCAGAAAAGCTATTCTAAAGATCCTGAACAACACAGTGAGCCTTTTCTTGGTTCAGATGAACCAGCAGCAAGTGGTTACGCCAATCAAGTGGGGGTGTATGAAGACCAGGCAGCTCCAAAGGGATTTCCAGGTGACAAGGAACAGGATGAAGGCAATGATGACCTGGTGAGGACATACCCAAATAAAGGTGAAGTTCCAACACCTCATGGATACCACAGTGGGGGTCTCGGCAATGCCAAAGCCCCGAACAATTACCCAGGAGACCTCGAATATGGCAGTAACAAAGAGCTGGATGCTGTTGTCCCCAACAGGCAGCCAGAAGAAATTTCAGGTGAAGAAATTAATGTAGCTCCTGGTAACTACCCCAAGGATGACCAATATGAGGATGCTGAATATGGGCATCATCCTGGCCAAGGTAATCATCGAGGAGGAGATCACTATCCTGAAAGGGATAGCTATCCCCATGAAGGTGGATACGCTGAGGATGCTGGTTATGCCAATGACCACAGCTACCCAGATCAAGGTTCGGGTAGTTTTCCCCAAGGAGGCAACTATCCTCAAGGAAATGCTTATGAAGACAGGGCACCATATGAGAATGCTTACACACCAGAAGGTGATGCCAGTGACAATCCAAAGGAGAGGACCCCTGTTTCCTCAAGTTACCCCAGCAGATATGATAATCAGGATTATGCTGATGATGAGGAACAATACGGAGACAGCGGTCAGATACCATATGGACAGCAAAGTAGCGAACCTTATGATCAAACACTCAAGGATTCGCTTGATTATGGACAACCAACTGGTAACTCAAATGATACTGTCCCCACTGATTCATTAGACTATGACAGGTCAGGTGATGCTGCAAGGAACAGTGCTTCCCAAGGTCTCCCGGACACCCAATCTGGAAATTATGCCCAGGACTCATTAGATTTTGGGTATCCGGAGCAGGCAAGTGACACAGTACATGCCAATGATACCGGTAAAAGAAATGATATCCAAAGCAGCGGTGATGCTGATGCTCCGTATGATTCATTAGATGAAGATGAGCCATACAGTGTGCCAAATAATATCCTACCCCAAAGGAACGGTGAATCAGGTGAAGCCCAAGGGCCCAACGATAACAATTTGCAGGGGGAATGGCCAAGAAATCAGGAGCCATTTGCTGTCTCGGAGTTGCAGTCAGATGTATCTGAAAGGAGCGGTGGTAGCAGTAACAAATCGTCAGCTAATTCAGTGAGAGCGATTCCAAATAGCTTTGAATCAGAAAAGCCACTTGTTTCGCAGACTTCTCCCCATGCTCAAGGATCACCGGGATCGCAAAACCGCCCACCTCAGGGGAGAAGGAAGACACCCTCTAGGTCTGGCAGTCGTGGCTTGGGATCAAGAGGATCCAGTCGCCCAAGTTATTCAGAACTGGCCAGACAACGAGGTTCGGTGAATCAAAAAGGCTCGGCCGGCTCAAACCAGAGCAGCAAAAGTAGATCACCTGAGCAAGGGGACTCAGTGTCAGCAAACCAGAACCGTGCTAGGAGCCTGAGTAATAGGATAAAGACAACACCCATCCCTGCTGATGAGCTCTCTGCCAAAGAGTTCCTTAAGAGGACCCGGTCAAAGTCAGATGCGACCGTTGAGAGGCCAAAGGTTGAACATTCAAATTCACAGATTATAAAGAAGAACGGAGAAGAGGTTCGAGTGGCTTACATATCTGACGACAGCGGTGATGAAGGAGAACACTTCCTGGATGACAAAGGAAGTCCAGTTGACCATTTTGGCAAGCCTCTTTACAAGGATCTCCATGGGACGAGCAAGAAAGCTGAAGAACCAAAGCTTGAATACCGGATTAAACCAGTGCCACCAAAACAGAAGAGCCCCTTAGAGTTACAAATTGTCAATGCCAGGAGGACATCTGCTGATGCAGGTAATAAAACACCTCATGGTGGGAAAATCACAATAGCTAGGCCTTTCCAAGTGGAGGAACCTCTCTTAAAAAAGGAAGAGACAAATCAAACAGGACTGTTGGATGATGCGCTCCCACCTCAAAAGAACACACCCAAAATGATCGAAGAACCTGTCACACACAAATCCATCGCACAACAGGAAGGGATTAGCGAATCAACTCAGACACCTCAATTACAAGATCGTAGCACTCAAAAAGAGGAGACAGACAGTCCAAGTGGAAGTGCTTCCAAAACTAGGGCACCCTTTGGAGAGGTGAGACTTCGTAGTGTGGGCACAATTATGTCTGGAAAGTCCATGGGTCGAGGAAGAACTCCACCTGTTTTGGACAATAAAGGTGAAGACCCTTACAGGGATTTGAGGTTTGAGAGAGATGATGCACAAAAGCATGGTAGAGACAACAAGTCTGCTATTGACAGGGCAGTCAACAAAGATATTGAAGCTGAAAAGAGCAGTGTTAACGCATCCCCACCACCAAAGACTAAGATACCTCTGAGCAGCACCTACAGGAAAGAGGACTTTGATAAACCAGATGACTACCCAGCTGGGTCAAGGGGTGCTTCAGGAGCAAGCTTGCAGGATAGGGGCATCCAGTACACACCTCAGACAGACCAGGACAGACAGCAGCCATCTTTGTCGCAGCCGTACAGCAGACCTGATCCTGCAATTCAACAACCAGTCCAGCATCAGGAGGAGTACAATAACCCGCATCCTTTTTATCCAAATGCAAACAGCCAAGATGCCTTCAATCCGCAGCAAGGATTCCCTGCCCCTGCACAGCAACCACCCATCCAACATAATGCAGATCAGCATTTCATGCAGCAGAGCTGGGAGCAGCAGATGCCCAGTGTGCCTTGGAATAATACCTACCCACCGCAAGTGCCTCAGCAGTTATACAATAGCAATCAGCCTGTGCAGAACGATCCCCAGCAAGGGGGCCATAATCCCCAAGGGGGCTATTATAATCAGCAGTATGTTGGTTACAGTGCCCCACAACAGAATCAAACACAATATTATGATCAGCAGCAGCCTCCTGATGCAGGGTACCAGACTTACCCTGGTGGTGCACCACAGCAGGGGAGACCTGCAGGACCCCAGGACTACATTGCTTCCCAACCCCCAAACAGGCCATACCCCAATCAGGGTGCACGGCCCGCACCTGGGTACTATCCCAATCCAAGCCTGCCAGGGCAAAATGAACCCCCTCGGCAACGTGCCCCACCTAAGCCCAAACCAAATTTCATTGACCTGAACAAGTCCAACCTCACCCGAGGACCACCCAGACGGAAATATTCCGAGATGCAGAAGAAGGTACCCACTCCAACTCGCATCAACCCCAAGAAGCCTTTACCAGACATATCCCGGGAGAGTTCCCAGTACGAGGACCCTCTGGCCGAGAATGGGCATAACCTAGGAAGTGCCCAAACCTGGGCTCATGAAGACTGGACCCGCCAGCTGATCCAAGATCAGCAAAACCTGCCTCTCAGACGGGGCCACTCGGACACCAACCTGTACATCCAGAACCAAGGACCTGGTACCATCCCACAAGGGTATCAACCACAAGGAGCTACCTCTGTGCCTGGATACAGCAATGACGCTGGCCCAGGGTACATGCAAGATCCTCGAACCTTCCAGCCGGCGTACAATCAGACCTATCCTCCGCAGGTACCCCGCAATCTCAACGGCCAACCCTACAGCTACTCGGCCGATCATGCCACCCAGTTTGCCCGGAACAATGGGTTTGCCCGCCCACAGCTGAGCGGTCCTCCTGGTACCAAGGTAGCTTTCGCTGATGATTTCCGCAACAGTTTTGACTCTGACATCAACCCAATGGTGTATGCCAATGAGATGACAGGCCCAGGCTACCATCATCTGACCAAGAGGACAAGTCCTTATAATGTGCTGCCTGATATACCCGGACATCCTGATCCAGGTGAGTTCACGCTTACAATTTAAAAAAAAACGTTTTATTGTTGTAGCTTTGATACTTGTGTATATGGAGGTACTTGTATGCATCTCTGATGGCTGGTTCTGGTAAGCCTCCTCCAGTTTTTACTGTAGTAGAATCACAGCCTCCTTGCTTGATTTTCCTCCCAGACGGTACTTCACCCCTGCGCAAGAGTGACCCTGATGGGTACATGGCCCGCCTCCTGAAACAGAAGCAGCCACCCCAGTACAAGGAGTACACCCTCAAGGACTACCGTAACCTCAAGAATGACATCAGGCTGGGTGGACTGGGGCCCGACCCTGAACTCATTTCTGAAAAGGTACAGTAAGAGGACGTCACCCCATTGCAATCATAAAAAGCAGTGAACAAGCTAGCTACGTGTACTTCAAAAAGGCTAGTTAATTCATGCATAAAGCACGCTCGCAAGTTTACGCATGATCTTGCTAATAGGGCACGACTTGCACACGCAAATGTGGCTGTTCCCAAATGACCTCAGACGAGGTCCATTTTTTGAACAAGCACTTTTGGAATGGGATGGGTCAAGCAATAATGCCTACCTGACAACTTTTCTGATTTAATCAGAATTGTTGAGATTCTCAACAGATTTTGTCATTCCTTGGAAGAAAAATGTGAAAAAAGTCTAGCAACTTGCCGTGCAGCAAAGAAGCTTGCTTGTCCTCACCTCAACAACTGGACAGCATACTGGGAAGAGTTCAACTCCAACGATCTTGTCCAGATTATTTGCCTTAGCTTGAAATAATGCACAGGCACCTGGACCGAACCAGATATATAGGGGTTTCACGCCAAGGCACTTGCATTGCTTGAATCTTTGTGTTCTGTTTTCCAACTCTCAGATGTTAGAAGGCATGATATAAATGCTGCTTTCAACCTACGATTTCAACCTGCTTTTCGCCTACAATTTATGGCTCTTTCATCCATGTATGGGTTTTTCCTTTAAAGCATTTCACAAGATAAAAACAACTTAAAAACTTGTTTCAGTTTGTAATTAGTTAAAAAGTTATGTGAATTTGGACTTTTCCAAACTTCCGCTTGATACATTTGTACATATATATGATTCTGTTGTGTGTCAGAAAAATAGTTAGAAGTTATCTTGTAAACTCAAAGACTGTCTCCAGTTAGGAATCAGTTTACTACCTTGAATGCTTTACATATGGCACTTTAGATATTGTGATCGAAACAAAATAGACCTTTGAAAACTGTTGTAATCAGGTTTGTAGGTGTGACGAACATGTATTTCAGTTCAAACCACGCCCATTGTACATTAACCCTAACCCTCCTCAATCCTTCACCTGTTGTTAGGGTTAAGGTACATGGAACCCTAAGGTACATGTAACCTGCAACTAGAGTGCTCGTCCACGAAAGCGTGGGATGAGTGGTGTATGTGCATGACGAAGGCACTTACAAATCGGATAGCAATTACCTTGTCTAGTGTTCTTGGCCAATCACAAGGGAGAGCTCTAGGCTGAAAGGCGAGGTTTCATGATTGCAGCTATTCAACGTTATTGGTGAGGAAGATTTTAATTCGTGGAAGATTGAATTTCTCTTGGCAGCAAGAGAAGGTGAATCGGCAGCGGGATTACGCCAAGTCCGTCATGCAGCAGAACAAGAAACAGCTACAGCAGAGCAAGAGACTTTGGCCCAAGCAGGCCGAGTCTCCCAAAGATGCCACACCTTCTAAGAGGGATATTGTAAGTACCTGTAGAGATTATTAAATGCTACCAGCTGTCGTTACTGAAATAGCACCACGCTATTCGTAGCTCATGAAGTTAATTTGAGGTTGTATTGCTCGTACCTTGCTCGTTCTTAGAGTGTTTTCCCACAGTTTCCTGCCACGGTACGATGTTTATCCCTGCCGCTCTAGATGCATCACACCCATCACGCAGTATATGGACACTGTTTGTCAATTTCCCGTCGTGATTACCTGACTAGCGTTGTGCACAGTGGTGTGAATTGTCCATAATTATTAAGAATCGTTGACTATTAATGTTTTTGCATTGATTAGCTTAAAGGCAAGCTTTTTTCACTTTTGTGACAATTTTGGTAGCTTTCATCCCCATTTAGTTAGCACAAAAAATTGAACCCCCCCCAAAAAAAATTCTGACCTATCAACCATATTTATGAGAGGCATGTAATTGGAAGCAGGTGTATTTTTTGGGGGGCCTAGTTTTTGAGGCAGGAGGTTGATACATGCATCTGAAGTTTGGCCTGTTGCGTATGAGTTGTTTAGTAGTATTGCAAACAGTAAAGAAACCTGGTCAAAGCACGTTAGTGACTAGTGTGTGACGTTTTGAACTCACACAGTGAGTTACTCAAGAATTTGTCTTTCCATGGATCGCACAAGATTGAAACAAACGAGCGGAAAAGTCTGTCTAAGGCCATGTCCGAAACGGGCTTCCACAGCTATGGCTAGGTCTATTGTCTACACGTATCCGCGCATTTCCAATGGAGCGAAGACCTAGACCTAGCTCTAGACAAGGGATTTGGATGCAGCCTAAGCTCTTGGATCGCCATGATCCAAGGATTAGCAAATTTGTGTGAGGCCCACTGATCACATCCACCATCCTTGCCTGACATTATATTGATACAGCTCTGTATGGTACATTTATCCTTGTGAATAAATCAATTTCACCACCTCAACCTGTCTTACCCCTCCCATTTCCCATCGCCATTCCTCTCCCCGTCCCCTCCCTTTTCTTTTGTACCCATCCCTCGTGCCTGTGCCCAGCCAGGCCCTGGCGTACTCTCAGCGGGTGCCCAGGCCGCGGTTCAGGCCCGATTCACCTACTGACGGGGACGACTGGCCCAAAGACTCACGGACGTTGGTCAGTTGGAATTTTGTTTCCCTAGCTCTCTGCCCAAGCACCTCTGGCACCTGGCACAATCTCACAGAGCTATGTAGCGGCAAATTACTTTGTCTCACAGATCCATAGAACTTTCATACAGTGGTGCATCACCACAACATTGACTGTTCATTTTCACATGATGAATACTTTGAATCCATCTTTGGTGCACACCTGATTTCTTCATGTACACCTGTGCCCAATGAACAGTGCTGGCATTCCTCTGTCGAATTCTATTCAAAATATTCTGGCAGTGTTTGACAGCATTTCTAATTAACCCGAGTAAGCTTGTAAATTTTTTCACAAGCTCTCGGACCAGCACTTTGCATACAGTGTTTATCAATATATACTTTGGGTTAGGTCAAAACCCATTGTATGAATTAACATCTCCCCAACGCAAAAATACATCTTGAAATAATTAACCAGAGTCAGCTCTGTGTATACTTGGTTTGAGGTTGGGGCGCTATTTGTGAGGGTGTCCTTGTTACATCCAAAACCTTTTGCCACCTGTCACGACCTGTAGAGGGGGTCATTTACTCTGTAAAAAAATACACACCTCTGTATTCAGCCTTGTAAGATGTACAACAATGTCAGTTTGGAATCCACATGCAGGGAAATAGCTGTTCATTTTCATGGAACCCACGTAACAATTGACACTGTCACAATTTGTGCCAAATGACCCAAATACAAATAATAATGCAAATTATGACTACATATAGATATACATGTACTGTACTTTAGACCTGTACAGGCCAGGATTCACTTTGTACTTCAAGTTGATGCTTTATCACAATTTGAAAAGAAAGACAAAGCAGTAACTCTCAAGGAAAGCAGCTCCATGGAGTTTGGCTGGCTCTCTGCTGTGACTAACGTGCTTGCATGTACCTACCACACAATGGGGACTGAGCTTTTGCTGACTGCAACATCATTTGACAATTGAAGAAAAGCTTTCAAAAATACTCTGTATGAGAAATTGCATGCAACTTGAGAAGACCTTGTCCTAGCATGATGCAGTTTAGAGTTTACAAGTGGGTCCCATTAATTTTATAACATTGAGAGAAAAGAGAGTTGAAGCACTACATGTACATATACATGTATCCAATTTTTAAACCTCAACACCTGTTTTCTTGTACTAATGTTTTGCATGTGTGCATGAGTACTGATCCTTTCGTATTTCTCTAACCGCTGACATCAGCAAACCTGTCTCACCAGTGATATTAATGGCACACTTTTTTGAAAAGAAAGTAGAGTGGAGAAACGTCTACGGTTGAAACCATTTTGTGGTTGGTAACAATGAGTTTATAACATGTATCTTCGTCAGATTTGCACCCTGCCATTACGTACACTCCTCCGTACTCCCAACGTCTGTGGGTTTGGCTTTAGTTACCCCTCTTGAAGAAGGATAAATCCTGCACGATGTATTGTTGGTTTCTAGTTTTGAATCCCAGCACCCTTTTTAATACACCAAACTGAAAGCCACTAGGCTGTTTGAGTTCACTGCACCCAAATTACACCAAGCAAATTTAAGTACTAAAACTGTGTTGATGAAAATGAGGGACTTTCTTTGTTTTGTTAAAGTGTTGTTGTTGATTAATGGCACATACGGCAGACTGGTACCCTGCGTGCCACAAGCAGTATAGTCAGCGTCACTCGTAGGTTAATTGGGTAATCATCTCACATTCTGTAAAAATGCACAAAGGAGAGAGAAAAGATACACGAGAGAAATGCATCGGATAGTTAAAGGAGACTGCATAAATGAGTGTTGGCAAATTAACAAGAGTCTTCTCCAAGCAGATGTACTTGACTGTATGGGGAAACGAGAGACCTGAAAGTGGAAGGGGAGGGGTCTTGAAGAATCATCCAGACACTCAGAGGTCCTGCAAGGTCGTTTGTGTAGTCTGACAGCAGTTGGTCTACAAGTTACACAAGTGCATGTACTCTAACATGAAATTGTAACTTCATTTGACGGCTCATTCTTTTTGTCGCAGGCCATTGAGTATTCCAAGACGGTCCCCAAACCCCGTATGCCCACCCCGCCCGAGGTTTGGCACGAGCGCATGTTTGGGGCGTCGTCCCGGCAACAGGCCAAGGAGGAGGTGGAGCATGAGGAGAGAGCAGCCTCAGAGATGGCCAGGCTGGAGGAGCTGAGAGCCCGTCACGAGAAAGAGAAGGAGGAGGTAGAGAGACTGAGGACGGAAGTACTCTCTTGAGAGGACCTTTGGAATTGACGGACTTGAAGTATTTGGACATCATGGTTGAAAGTACTGGTACTAGTGGTCTGTGAGGACATCAGCATTAATTTCAGAAATTCTGGAAACATTTTGAGCATCTTGTTCCTGCAGCTTAGGAAGGTATTCTGACTGAGGACGTACATGTATGGTACAGCTTCAGAGGACATCAGTCATTTCAACCAATTTGGAACATCATGGCCCAGCACTTAAAAAGAGGATGTCAGGCTGAGGACAGCTACTGCGGCTTGTGAAGATATAAGAATCGCCTCTGCAAATGGAATCTCACCATGCTTGGAATATCATCGTCGGATTGATTACAGCAGGATAGAGCCAAGCAGAGATGTAGTGGCCTTCATGAGTACCATGGAAGCAGTGTTGTCATAGTATAAACTGGGACCGGTGTTAGAGTTAAGTCCATCACAATTCCTTTCACAAGTCCTTTCTGAACTCCAGTCACAGGTCCCTCACAAAGCTAGTCATAAGTAACAGCATGAACAATGACAAAAGAATGCTTTTGTCACAGCTCCCAAGCTACTGTGGAGAGCAAACCCTAATTTATCAAATATGTATCATCAATGTTGGACGAAGGATGATTGCATGGGCAGTACTAAAGTGTGTCAAATCGAAGAAAGTTTATTTTGAAGTTGAAGTTGCAATCAGCCCTGAGCAGAAGCACCCCCTTGTCGGTTGAAAAGAGCTGTGTTGGTCAAGAGTGCTCATTTTGGTGGTAGTGATGCTACCACTATGCATGCATTACTTAGTCATTCATGCGTCGGCGATGTTCAGTTCTGACCACAGGAGCCTCTGTCGCTAAGACACGTTTGCGCCCTCTATTGGTCCAGCTCAGGGCTCGTTGCAGTAGCTGTAGATTACGTCCTGGCATAATGTGGTGATTTGGTCGATTTATACTGAGGAGAATAAGGCCTGGTTGGTTTTACTAACCTCCGATTTGTTTGTAAATAGATGGTATTTTATTGTGATGCTTTGCCGTTCTGTTTGCCAACACGCACCTGAAATGTTTTCCCACAGCACACTAATATTTTGTTTGTTCATGTACTGTATATAGCCAAGAATCCAGTGCTTGCTTGTTTGTACAGAGGAAAAATGTTCTCACTACTAGAAGGAGAAATATATTATTTTATTACCATTAAGGTTATGTATTAAAAGCCAATCCAGTGTGATTTATACCATTTCTGGTTGTATAAAAGCTGTACATTCTAATATTTTGGAATGAAATCTACCGTCCAAGCATTTCTTAAAGAGATATTTAAAGGAATTTTGTGCTGACTACCAAAAAGTTTTTATTGTGTTCTGACAGTACCAAAACGTCCGTTCTTGAAGCTCTTGGTGTGGTATCAGAAGTAATAAATTATAAAATGTATATAAAAAAATCACTGTTAAATGCACCTGTCCGCAAAATTGTATCCAATAGCAAATACCCCTCAAAAAAGTGTAAAACCTTCAAGGAACTTTTTTTAACCCATTGTGTAATAATCCTGTAGGCAGTGTTAAAGTCATGGCCTTTAAGGCCATCACAAGACTCCCCAAAGCAAACTCAAGACCCTAGTCTTAATTCCAGTCGTAAGATGTTCAGATGAGTGGTAACATTACATTCCTTATGTCATTATTCACCTTGTTTACGTATATTTTGTTTGTCTCGTGAAGGTCTGGATTACATCACTGCCTGTATTGTTTCCAAAACCAGACAACTTGAACCAGAATTGTTCTCAGTATTATATCGGTATTTCTTACAGAAAAAAGTGTTGATGGTTTTTTTAGGGACTAGTCAGAAGTCGTACTAAGTGACAGGTTTTTTCTTTTTTTCCAGATGACAGTTTGTTGACACTTGAGAAAAATGTACTGGAAATTGTGTTGACCTTTCACCTCATATTGCAGATACCAGTCTAAATATGATGTATACACATAGCGTTTTCTCCTCTCAGGCCTGGAGTCTGTCCCTGTGCAGATATCATTGCACAGTTGTCAATCCAGGCATTTCACAACAGTGTGCCTCCTAGAATTTGTAAGGCGTTGACCAATCACAGTGCGCGAAATCTGTTGACCCAACGCGCATTTGGAAAGGGTCGACAGATTTACGCCCATTGTGATTGGTCAACATGTTGCAAACTCTTGGAGGCGCACTATTGTGAATCGCCTGTATTGCAGTCATTGGAAGATTCCGGGGGTGGGGGGGGCAGGGATGATTGCTCTCCAATAATGGCCAGTTTTATGTATTGCGTTGTATAATTTAAGACCAAGGAGATGGTGAGATTTTCTTATTTCCCGTCCTACCAAACCAAATAACATAAAATGTAATATCAGTACTCAGGGATACCATAAAAATGTGACTTCAAATTTCCAAATTCTGTAGCCCCCCCTAAAAGGGGCCCCTACGGCTATCTCAGTATCTGCCGTTAAATACAGCCATTTCACAATAGTGTGCCACCAAGCATTTGCAACGCATTGGCCAATCACAATGCAGGAAATTTGTCAACCCAATGTGCGTTTGGAAAGGGTCGACAAACTTTGGGCGTTATGATTGGCCAACACGTTGCAAACTCTTGATGGTGCACTATTGTGAATCGCTCTTATTGCATTTCAAGTTTCCAGTTCATAAGTTTAAGATGAATGTTTGAAGGGTATTCCTTAATATCCATCGCCTGTTATAAGATGTGCTTGAGGTTTGGTTGTGAGACATTAGATATAGATTGGCTTCACGACATCTTTGTCGGGGGGAGTTTGAAGTGGTGCCGATGTTCATTATTGTGCCGTCCAGGGGGATTTTCTTTGAACGTTTATACTTTTTGGTTTCATTTTTGAGGCTTCCGTTTCTCTGCATTTCTGAAGCTGTGCTCCTTCATTCGCTTTTAAATGCTACTGCTTCAGGCTGAAGTATTTGAGTTGACTATTTGATTTTTGTATTTTGCTTGAAACCGGCATTTAATTCCTACACCAGTGTCTCTGATTTTCTTGTCTACATGCATGCAGATAAAGTCAATCCACGCGCACGAATTCAGTCATTTCCATTTTCTCAATTAAAAAATCCTTTTCATTACGAGTGTACTGAACTGTGTTTTGTGCTGTGAGAAAAATATTCTTCCATAAGGCAAATGATTTGATTTGCATTTGATCAGTGGTACAAAAGTCATCTCAAAATATTTATGAAAAATCTGGTATGGAATATTCTGTTTTCTAATCCTACCTATATGCAGTTCCAATTCTATCCCCAAATACTCTGCAAAGTGTAGATAACAATATAAATTTTTGGACAGAAGAATATATATATTCCGTTATATTATTCACTTGTGAAACGCATGAAATAAATTTGTTACTTCATAACAACCTGTGTTTGATGTTCAATTGGCATATTGCTATGAGGTGTGCCTGGCATGTTGATGTTGCACTTGTTCTCACGCCCAATTGGTTGAAATTCAGCCACGTGGTATCCACCGTTATGCATACATCGTGCATCAAGCCAATCCTATTTGAAATTTGGAAGACCAGTCGCCGAAACAACAGTTTGTCGGAAATGGTACACAGAGGTGTAACTTTGTGCCAGGATGAATTTTGCGTTATATATTAATAACATTAGAACAGCTTGTCTGGATTCAATCAATTACTTTAAATTAACATTCTTTTAAAGCTCGAAGCCCAAGTTTTATCAACAAAGTAACAAGCAATGGAGACATGGTCATTACTTGTTGCATGGGAAACAGTTCACCGGGACACCACTTGATACCCTGCGCATGATACCTTTCCTTTCTGAGTAAATGCTTCAATATTTTCGCTGCTAAATTAAACAGAATTTAAATCTAACATTTGAACAGAAGAGGGTTATGCAGGTATTGTATAAATCAAATAATGAATATTTATGAAACAATCAGCAGCATAGCCAGGATTCTGAGCAGGGGGAGGGGGAGTAGGGCCTTCACGCTAAAGTGGGGGGGGGGGCTGACTGGATGTTGGACATATACCTGTACATAATCGGGATCACGTCAGGATATGCAAGGGGGGAGACGATTCTTCATGGGGGATGGCTCCTCCCCAGCCACACCACTGAGTTTAATGGTGAGAATAATTTCATGAGATGACGTTCTACGATGCATATTTGTGTACTATTACATGGACGCGGTTACGGGAGCTATGCCTAATCCTAAATGTAGGGAAGTTCCAAGTGATGAAATTAAGAGTACAAGTTTGTTATTTGTGATAACCCATTTTTAGACTTTCTATATATTATACTTGCTTTGATTTTTGTCGATTATATTTGGTAACAAAATTGCATACATTGTGCTCAGTTTTACTACCGCAGGGCCGTCTCTGCTGGAGTTTACCAAAACACTTACTGGAGGTCATACAAAACAAACGAACTTCAACTTATTTGAATTTTGTACATGTAGTTCGTGATAGCTTGAAATTTTAAATATGGCACATTATCTGGGGTTTTATATAATCAGGATTATTCATTATTTTCCCAATTTCGGTGTCTTAAATTCCTGTAGTCAAATATTCAAGCTCTGCTCTCTGAATTGAATTGTATTGTATATGTTGTATACAGTATATCTCTTAGTTTATAGACGGCGCGTGTGTGTGCCTCATGAGCTGCACGCGCACGCGCGCACGGTACGGACGGCCTGCCGTGCGCAGCTGCGCGCCTAGCTAGCTAGCCTAGCGCGCCTGCGCCTACATCATGTACTTGTACGTGGCTTTTTAACAGGTATGCCTAGTAACTGTTTCCATTTTTGTTGGAATTTGCATTGCTTTATTTGACCACTTAATGGACTATTTGTAAATGTTTATTCGCTTGTGATTATAGACTAGTTTGACGGCAGATTGGAGGAAATGAAGGATTTCTAAAAGGTGATATTTGGAAGTTAATTTAGGGAGGCTACTGCGGTGAAGGGCTGTAGCCTAGGACTTGGCCCAGCCATGATGTACATGTAGTTTCAACACACTTTATACCTGTGTTTAAGTTACATGTAAGTACATCATTTATTTCCAGAATTCTAACATTGCATACATGTACAGTACACTTTATCCGGGCCTACTGAAATGTGCTTGAAATGCCTGGCCTTGTAATTTGGGAAGGCCAGGCACTTGGCATAGATTAGAAGGCAAAATCCCAGGTTTTCTTGTCAGCTCAATAAACTTTGGCATACCTACATGTAGGCCCTAGGCCTAAGTACACTTTATCCACAAACATACAAGCATGCTGTATGTTATAGATTAAGCCTGACTCAAAAGTCACAGGAAAAACTTGGTTCCTGATAGTAACTTCTGCGAATAAGTCGTCAGTTGCTGTGGAGATCAGTGGATTTTCAAAGACTCAAACTTGACCTTAGACCTTCTTCTGGACTCTGACTCAAACAATGAAAACTTGGCTACCATGACTTGGCCCAATCCCCCTCCCTGATGTTTAACTTTTATTTTACTGTGCAAGACTGGTGGTCTATGCATTTATAAATTACATGTATATGTCTGTGGTGTCATGGCATGCGCAAAATGGGAAAACTGGACACGACAAGGTTTGGAACACTCCTTGGTACAGTATGTTTGTAAAGATAGGCTAATTGTCCAAATACAAAGGATTTGCAGGGAATCATGCAAATACATTTAGTTCATGGAATTTTGAAAGTTTCCATGATAGACTTAGTACTTTACAGTTTAATGAGTTGAAGTTTGTTCTGTAGTGTGACATGTTACAGTAGACTGCCAGAAGTCATTCAGTCTGTCATGTCTGTGCTGGGTCCGATGTCCATGAGTGGGACTGGCGTCGGACCCTTCAGCTCTGGGGGTAGATTCATTTAAGTGACACAGATTCCGCTTTTTTTCAATCAAATTTTCCCTTGAGAATGAGAGCAACCATTAAGCTTGAGATACCCAGGCTAAAGAAGGTTTTTTCACCAAAAATCACAGAGGGTTTCCTCATCATTCTTCCATTTTCTTCCCAACGATCGCACCGTACTGTACATTTTGTGTTCATCCCACAGTGCACATGCAGCGACAGCCAAGGGCCAGTATAGCCGAGCTACATGTAGTACCGCATGTCATTTCGACTATTTTTGGAGATGGCAGTGTTTAACCTGTCACAGCTAGCAAAGCACTTGGCCTGATGGTATCACTCCAGTCACACAGCTCAGAGGCCACTCGTGCGATAATAACAAGATTCCACTCCCTCCTTGATATATAGACAAACTGATCTTGCTATTGGCCATTGGCCAGCGCATACATGTTCACTGAGCGTGTGATGCACACAGATCGTTCAGTACAATGTGATTGTTGGGAAGAAAACAGGAGATACATGTACATTGTATGTGAGTAAACCCTCCAATTTTTCAAAATAAGATTAGTTTTAAAGTCTAAAAAACTGGCGTTAATTTGACAATTTTCAAGAGCTATACATGTAGGTACCTTAAGGTTGCATCACCGGTCATAATATTTCAAAGGCTGGATTAAAAAACAGATGGCATGGCAAACCTTTATAAACAAACATGGGTGCAAGTCACACAGATAAGTGACTTTAGAACATCCTTTAGGCACACCCTACAGTTCTTGGGGTAAACCTCCTAAACATGGCGAATGTCTTTTCTCCATCAATCCTGTTCTTATTCTCAGCCTGGGCCTGTCACCTAGCCCAGATTGAACAGCACTTTTTGTCTCTTCAGTTAGGGTTATGTACATATACATGTATGAGACCTACATGTACATGTAGGTGGGACCATGAGAGGGCGCAATTTTCCTAGCAGCGGAGGCTCCTTTGGTAGGAACTGCACCATAGGAGACTATGAAGTACACGCATCACGGTTGCGTCGCTACCAGTAAATCAACTCTCCCCACCAACATGCATGACATGGCTCTTTTTGACCAGTGAGGGGGTGCTTCTGCTCAAGGTGGATAGACCTGCATGTACATTGCAGAAAGAATTCCATGATGTTTGATGATGTACACTTATCCAGGCTTTTCCTCCCACCTCTCAAACTGAACATTTCTTCATTGTCTTCTTCACTCATTATCATCCTGTAATTGGCGCTAAATGCACTGTTGGATGATCAAATTAATAAATAAAATAAATGTAGATGTAAAGTGGATGCAGCTTGACACCCTTTGCACAAATCTACCATGGGAGGAGAAACCTTATCTGGTCCAAAATGTTCAAGTGTTTTCTAAGTGAATACCAGCAACATTTTCACTGCTAAATTTTGACCTTTTAGGACACTTTTTTATTGCTTTGAGATGGCTGGTAGTGCCTATACTAATACTGTTAGGTCACTGTAGTGAAATATTAGTGGCATTAGTAATGGATTTCTTTCTGTACATGTAGGCCTACATCTCAACTAACATTGAGGATGTCAAGTAATCGTGCCATTGCATCGTGATTGTTGGTGTTGCCTCAGTTGGCGCACTTGAAAAAATCGCCCAAAACCCCACATAAACATTTGAGAAGTTCTGTATACTTAATGATTTCTGTTATTACCTCAGTTTACATACACTTAAACAAAAGTTTGTTAGAAAATTATTTTTAATTTTTAGGCAGGTTTAGAAGTGTCCATTTTGTATTGAAGCAAAAAAATGGAAAATAGAGCCAAATTAAAATTTTCATTGGAAAATTGTAGTGGGTGAGTAAAATCAGGAGTTGTGAATTAGATGTGGGAGTTTGATGAAATTTCGCCTACTTTGAAATTTGAAGTAAAAATGTTGCTCCAGCAAGGCTCTGGAGGCAAAAAATCCAACTGCGCCAAAGTTAGGGGCGCGCAGTTAGGGGGCTTCAACAATAAATGAAGGATGTTGCTGTGATTACAGTAAAAGCTGAAGAGATGCATTGTTTTTGTTTTTGTTTTTATTGTAGGAGGAAGTTATTAAGAGAAGATGATGGAGCAAGGAGTGACCAATGATTGGGCAGCATTAGTGGAGAGCACAGAACCTGAGTAAGTTCCTTCCCAGCACCTGGTTATTCAATGACAAGCTGGATTGAGAAAGTAAACTTTGTTCCTGCAAGTTTACTCGGTCTCCTGCGTTCGCATACTCCTGTCAAGCCTACATATGCAAATTTCCCATGTGCCTATTATAATTTGCTGAAAAGACTTGATTATGCATGTTGCCCCTTGACCCTCCACAATGCACTGCGGTCTCGCCGCCATGTTCGTCCTTTTCTCAGTGCCTATCGTTTACAAACGTGTCTTTATGGCATTTTTGGAGTTTCGAGTTCCATACCTTTGGCGTTTGTGAATTGACTTGATTCCTGTTACGAAATGAAGAGTGATTTCTTATCTCTTGGTAAGAGTGCTTATTTTTATATTTCCTTCTTTTTGCATGCTGTGTTTTTCTGTGTTGTTCTTTTCTGCCCCTCTTTTTCTGTGCATCTTATACAGGTTTGGGTGTGACCTACTATGATGCGTTGTGCTGGGTATGGCCGTGGAATAAGGCTGGGAAGCCCTTTGTTCTCTATGCGGTGCGTACGTTCAAATAATACAGCCCAATGCTATACGGGTCTGGCTGCGGAGTGGGGCTTGGTGGGTTGCCCCACTCGTTTGTGGTGCAGTTTTGCGTTATCCGATTAGCGGCCATGACGAGGAGAGACCCAGTGGAATGAATAGGCCGGGGGTGAGCGTGGTCTGCCGCAACAGACCCCAGGCCTTTATCTTCAGATCAGGCTGAGCTCGAAGTACCACAACATGCCTAGATCGCTAATGACCACTACCAGGATTGATCGGGCTGAGAGAAGGGTGTCGTAACAATGCCTGTGATCACTGATGACTACCCCACCCACCTACCCACTGAACTGACATGCTGAATTCGTACTTTACCTGTGGTCATCAGCGCCCACCTTGCACCAACAGATCGGGTTGAACGAGTTATGCCGCAACAATGCCCTTGATCATGATTGTTTGGGAGTAATGAGCCGTTCCCCATTCCTTTGTGCTGCAGGTCCCGGGCATGGCTACCAACCGCATCCCCGGACGACTCTACTGACCGATGGCTCAGCAGGGCCCACAGGGCGACGGTTCGCCATCTGCCCCGGGTCCCTCACCAGCTACTGCTCGCTGAGTAGCACCCGCTCGGAAGTCAACTCCCTCGAAGCGGGCAATGGGTTCCACCGCGGGTTCACTGCGCTCCACCGCTTCTGCCACGGATGAGTCAGCTAGCCAGCATAATGCTCAGCCTTTCCGGACTGCTTCACCGTCGGGGCTTCCGTCCACCACACCTCATCCGCACTTTTGGCCTGCAGATGGATTCTGGTCATGAGGCCATCAATCCTGACTTTGGATCAATGCTCCTCCCAGGAGATGACCGACCACTCGGGGGATCCCTGCCCGCTTTTTCCTCCAACTGTTCCGGCCCCCAGTTCCCCTGCACCGGCGAAAACTAAGAAGCGCAAGGCCAAGTCATCTTCCTCGGCCTCTTCTTCATCCAAGGTTGAGAAGAGACGCCACTCCCGATTCGGATCCTTCCCATGGATGGCGACCCTCCAGTCTCTCACAGAGGCTGTCAGCTCTCTCGCTCGCAAGATGGACTCTAAACCTCAGCCGGTCGCGACAGCACCAGACCCGGAGCCCACCCGGCCGTCCCTCCTCCCTCACACGGGGCCCTCTCCGAGACCGATGCGAGTTTTATTCTTCAACCAGAACCGTCCCCTCATCCAGTTGCAGTGTCAGAATGGTTGCTCGTTATGCTCGGAACACGGGTCAGCTTGTCCCGCCGGTCTTCAGCCTGTCTCCTCGGAGGATAATGACATCGACTCGGTGGCTGGTCTGACCCAGCCGGAAAGTCACCCGCGCCTTCTCCAACGGGACATGATCCACATCCTTGGACCCTACAAAGCCTGAACAGGGACACTCTTCGTTCAAATGCCACCCTTCACGCCTTGAGTTGGCTGAACCCATCTTCCTGGAATTTCCTTTAGACCATTCTTGTGTGGAGATGATGAACACCCTCGCAAAGGTTAGACGCTTGGCCACAGCTCCTCCCAGGGCCCTGTCCTACTACTGTTTTCCTCTAGAGGATGTCTCTCGCTTCTTGTCGTCCCTGATGCTGCGATAGACAAGATCTCGTGTGATTCTGGCAAGCGCAATATTTTTCGGGATAAGGACAAGGCCAACCTTGAAACAGTTCTCTGCCGCGTGGACTCAGCGTTTTGATTCGGCCTCCGGTGTTCAGCCTTCCTCCTCCTTCTTTTGGAGTATATTGCCTAGGCTTGTGAAGAGGACTCTCCGGTCTCCCCAGACTTTGCAGCCCTAGCTCTGCAAGGGCTCGACGAGGGACTCAACTCGATTTTTGAGCAATTTATCTGTGTCTCCCTTCTTGCCACTTCTAACCGCAGAGCCAACGCGGTGGATGCCATAAACATCCCCTACGAATCTGTCAAAGCAAACTCATGGATCTCCTGCTCCTTGGGAACGATCTTTTCGCCGGGAAGTTCACCGAGGTCCTTGAGTCAGAGGTGAAGTGTATGGAGACTGCCAAGAAGATCTCAAGAAGAGCCTACAGCTCACTCCAGCTGACAGCCCAACTGCCACCGAGATGACGAGTGGATGCACCCCAGTCTACAGGCCCCAGTCGGGCCCCGGGTGAGCCCTGCCCACAACCGCTTTCAGAAGACCTCAGCCACGCCTCGCCGGCCGTGGGTTTTCTGGCCGTGCCCCTGGTCCCTCCAGGGGACGGTGCTGGTGACTACTTCCATTCGTCTTCGGCGGCCGCCAATTCCAACCCGTTGGCGACCACCTGGGCAACTTCATCAGGTTCTGGGGGAGATCACCGCAGACAGCTGGGTCCTCCCCATCATTGCCTACGACTACTCCCTTGAGTTCACGAGTCCCCCGCTGTCCGGGTCTTCCGTTCCATTCCTCCCCCATGCGACAAATCCAAGTGCCTGGCTCTGGAGGAGGAGATCTCAACGATGTTACGCAAAGGTGCCATAACACCGGTACATCCAAACCAGTAATCCACTGGTTTCCTTTCGTCCTTTTTCCTGACACTCAAGAAAGAACCGGGAAAATGGCAACCGATAATCAATCTGAAACCGCTCAATCAAACAAGTTCATCAAGCCAAGGCGGTTTCGAATGGAGACACTGAGCGTGGTCCTGTGCTCCTTACCAGTCCTGTGCTGGGCCACATCCATAGATCTGCGGGACGCGTATCTCCATATCCCAATACACGAACAGTTTTGCAAGTTCCTCCGCTTCAAGTACTCCGGCCAAACCTACCAGTTTCGGGCCCTTCCCTTCGGCCTCTCGACCTCACCTAGGGTCTTTACCAGGATCACCTAGACTGTCGCCACCTACCTACGACGGCACAACGTCCTCATTTTTCAATACCTGGACAACTGGCTGATCGTCGGTCACTCCCCCGACGAGGCCAGAGCCTGCACCTCTCTCACCCTCGATGTCACGACTTGCCTGGAGTTCCTCGTCAACCAAGACAAGTCTGGCCTTGACCCAGCACAGCGGCTGACCTACCTTGGGGCGATCCTCGACCTTCACAGAGGCATCGTGACCCCAACACCGGAATGCATCCTGAACCTACAACAATGCGTCGTTCAGTTTTTGTGATCCAAAGCACCTCCCGCGCTGGCCTGGCTCCGTCTTCTCGGACTAATGGCGAGTTTGGTCGACCTCGTCCCATGGTGTCGACTTCAACTACATCTCCTGTCTCGGTCCTGCCCCAAGAGCGACCTGATTTCTACCTCAGTCCCTCTCCCACTGGAGGTTCACAATCACCTCCGGTGGTGGACCGTCAATGAGCACCTGTCGACCGGTCGTCCTTTCGTTCCCTCCAGACCGAACATCACAATGGCAATGGACGCGTCGCTATTCTGATGGGGGGCCTCCCTTCCTCCATTTCACACATCTGTGGTTTGGGACTCTTCCTTCCGCAACAAACACATCAACCTGCTGGAACTTCAGACAATATTCAATGCCCTTCGTCTCTTCCAGCGGCACTTAGTGGGTCTCTTGGTTCAAATCCACAGCGACAACTCCACAGTGGTAGTGCATCAACCACCAAGGCGGTACTCGCTCCCCCCAGCTTTGCGTGTTTACATGGCAGATCTTCATGTGGGCAATCGATCATGGAATCTCTCTCCAGGCAGCTCACATAGCAGGAACAGCCAACAGCATAGCAGACGCTCTCTCCCGAGGCACTGTCCGTCCGACTGAGTGGACTCTTCATCCGAGCGTGGTCAGGCAGATCTTCGAGGAGATCGAACGTCCCCATGTTGACCTCTTCGCATCAGCCGACAATACTCATCTTCCGACATTCTGCTCCAGGTTTCCTCACCCACGAGCCTGGGCGACGGACGCTCTACAAGTGGACTGGTCCGGCCTTCTGTCCAATGATCATTCAGAGCATCAGGCCTTTCTGCAGACGCTGCATCCATGGCAGCATGGGGCCAATGACCGTCCACACGCAGAACTTACAACAGTCGACTACAACATTTTAATAGATGTGTAACGACCACTATGTTTTTCCAAATGAAGCTTCTGTGAGCTGAGTTGCACACTTTTTCATGTATCTCTTTCAGTCGGCCTCCAGAATGCCACCATCTGCAACGACCGGCCGGCTGTCCATTCAGGGTTCAGCGACGGGTCAACGATTTCTGATAACGCCGCCATCCACCATCTCCTTTGGGAAATGTTTGTCGAGCGTCCTCACATGAAACGCCTCGTTCTGTCTTGTGATCTTGGGAGCATCTTGCGTGTTCTCGCCTGTCCACCCTGCGAGCCGCTTTTGTGCATCTGACCTCCATCTCAGCATCAAACTGGCGTTCCTCCTGGCCGTCGTTACTTCCAGATGCGGCAGCAAAGTGCATGCTCTGTCAACTGCTGAAGGTCACATAGTTGGGAACCGCATGGAGTTGCCTTATCCCAGCCATTGAGTTCCTGACAAAGTACCAGACACCTACGTTCCAGCCTCCAAACATATTTATCCTCGATATAACGTCTCTTTCGGGAGATGACTGACAAAAAATGGTGACCAGTTCGTACTCTTAAGTGGTACCTCGCCAGGACCAAGCATCGTCGTGAACCTGGTTCCAGACTCTTCATCACTACCACAAAAGCCCTTTCATCCAGCGGCGAAAGACGCTATTGCTCGGTGACAACCTCGGCCATTATCTGCGCGAACCAAGACTGGCCGACTCGGCATGACAAGAAGACTCGTTCTCTTATCAGAGCCCATGATGTTCATGCCTCCTCCACGGCCTGGTCATAATTCAGAGGCATTTCCTTGGCGGATATATGCCAGGCGGCTTGCTGGAAATCCCCCTCCACCTTCACCGAGTGCTACCTGAAGGATTTTCTGAGGAGCGAGACAGCTCACGGCGCAGCAACTAGCGCCGTTCCACACCGAACAATGAACTCCTCATTGTAGATACCTTTTCCTCTGGTGAGTGTTCGCTTGGGTAACGCCAGCCTTTGTTCTTTAGTAACTACACTCCCGTCGCCGACCCTCCTCAGCATCACATTAAGGAGTTATAGAAGAAGGTCCAGTTTTAGAGGCAGGAGGAAACCGGAGTACCCAGAGAAAACCTGCAAGAGCGAGCATGGACTGGAAACCAAATGCACTTAAAGCCTGGGCCAAGCCGGGACTCGAACCCGGGCCTCATTGGTGCAAAGCGAGGAAAGAACCGCTACGCTAACCCGCTATCCCTCACATGTACTTTGTCCAAAGACTGTGTGTAAAAAGGCCCACCAGTAGATATCAGAAACAAAATGAACAATTCTATACAAAAACCTTTGTACTGTGACTTCCTTTGTCTGCCAAATTCAACAATTCAATGCAGCTTTCCACTAAGGAAAGATACTGCTTACATTTTTTGTTCATTTTTTCAATCTTTTATGATGAAGTCACCACTCTGTTTTCACTGCTGAAGTTAACACCTAGAGTCGGGGATGACGTTCATATTTTATCTCCTTTTTTTTCCTTCTCAAGAAGCGGGCTCAAGAGAGATCAAGGTCCATTGAGGACCCAAGTGACAGCCACTCTGACAGTAATATGGAGCAAGAACAGTGGATGGAGAAAACAGCAGGTAGATAAGCTGTCACTTGTCAGTCATATCTGCCATCTGTGAAGAAATCAATTTTTGCAGGCAGATTTGGCCCTGGTACTTTCTAATGTCTTAACCCTAAAAGAGCCTGGTTACATTGGACCACTTCACAGCCTGCGGCAATCCCCCAAGAATTGGGTTGTCCAATGCTGGATTTTTGTACAATTTTCGTACTGTGCATGTCTTTCCTTCTCCAAACAAATATTGAAGTTTTATCTCAATCTGTCATATATGGTTTGACAGTCACTTGGAAGTTGGGAATAGCAGCAGAAAGTGTACATTCTTGGTTGACCTCTCTCAGCAAAAAAGGTGCTGTGCAAGAACCGTAGGTTGGTTTTTCACAAAAATGGTGTCAGAATGACCAAAAAGAGTTATTCAAAGAAACTCCGAAGGCTTCTGGAAAATGTGTGACGTGATCTGTCACCACAAAATGAGCTGAAAGTTGGAATTTTCAAAAATTGAGATTCTGGTATTTTTGAGTTCAGCAGAAAGAGATCTTTCCAATGGCATGTACATGGAACACTTAGGGTGAAAGTATAGGGTGACAATGTGGCAGTATTCTGGCAGCTTTGCATCTCTGTTTCTGGCATTGTTTCAACACTTCAGTCCAGGCATGAATGATGCTATCGTCAAAATTAATAAGAAAATGACATTTTTTAACGTGATTTTGTGAAATATTTGGAATTAATTGGAGACGGGCTACTCTTTCCAAATATTGCAAAACCCTTGAGGAAAAGTCATGGAAATCAGTATCGTACAAGGGTGATTTTGATGGTGGTTATGGAGAGTGGCCAGGGTAGTCTTCGTTTATTATACCTAACAAATTTTCTGTGCAAAATGGCATTAAATGCCATGGAAATTGTCATATTTTTGTTTGGAAAGTGCAGGAAAGGTCACTGAATTGGATTTCGTTGGAACCTTGCTTGTAACAATCAGGGCCCAATTTCTCGGCGCTGCTTAGCACATGATTTCACGCTTACAGAGGCTCTGCATATTTCATGCATACAGTAAACAGTAAGAACTGTATAGCCAAATGCATCCTAACCTTGGAAGAAAGATTTGCTTCAACTTAGTGATGTAATAACAGAAATCTCTATCCACACGCAGCCATTAGCACAACCCCGGTCCCCCCCAGCAACACCATGAAATAGTGCTCAAGGTTAGCACATTTTTCTGCTAAAGTTAGCACGATTTTTCTTCTGACTATGTTAAGAAGCCCCATGAAATTGGGCCCTGACCCCACCTGGCCTGTTACTCCCTGCACTCCCCAGTACTGTATGATTGTATGGATGTAACAGCAACCCACAATAAGAGTCTATGTGGTGATGGGTTGAAACATGGCTGTACGTGTTTTGCGCATTTGGGGGAAAAATTATTATTACAGTGTGACTGAAAACCTTGGGTGACCTTTTCTTCTTGGTTTTTTTTTACATTTTTCCTTGTGTTTAGATTTGGGAAGGCCTCCTTGCCAGGTGAATGTACTGCCATGGCTGCCTACATGAACGTTAAAGCTGGCTGGCGTCATGGTGCGAGTGGACAGACCGATGTAATCTCTATAAAGTGAAGAGACAGGTTATGTCATAAGTAGCACAGGTAAGAGTCCTGTGTTTCATATCATTGCTGACTTTCTGCAAGGATGAATCCGGGAAAGGGGGAAGGCGCCTATTGGGGTCATGACCAAAAAAGGAACAAATATCGTTTTCGTTGGAAAAAAATGAAAGGATCTTTTTGGTCTATTTAATTTCTCTTCTTTTGAATAATGGAAATGTAGCTTAACTGCGCAAAAAACTCTTAAAATAAATTTGGCCCCCAAAATCAAGTTTGACATGGCCCCCCTCCCTGAAAAAAAATTGGGTCCTGGATCCACTGGCACCCTTGGGTGCCTGTGGCTAGTTTTTAGGGCAACCCTGACGTAGGGATGGTTGTGTGCAATGTATCAACCAAGCAAGACGAAAGGAATGAGGTTAAACCCTTGTAACCAGGGCAAGCTCTTCACCCACTATACTGGAATTGTTCATATTTTCCTGGCCTAAAGGTCCTTTTCCTTCATGGTTATTTGTTGTTTCGTGACAAATTACCATTGATCACTGGTCCTCACTTCCTGAGACATGTTCAACATGTTCAAGGAGCAATTTGGGTTTCACAGTTTTAATAGTAAAACTCATGAAATGAAGCATCTAATCATAGACATAAAATACCTGTAGACCAACAGCAGGGGCATAATTAAAGGAAAGTCTCCATTATTCATAACCATGAGCAAATGGCTGCCTTGTCCCCAGGGGTTTCATGATTTGCTGTGCAGCACTGCTCTACATCAAAGAAGATGGATTGGGGGCAACTGTGGCAATTGTCCATCAAATGTTATTTGGCCCTGTTTGTCGTTTTATTAAAGTTCTAACCAGGCACAGATTATTTTTCTTCCTCATAATATTGCCCGTTATTACAAGCCATTAGTAGAAGCTAAGGTGCATATTATGTAAAATTCAGCTAAATTCCTGACATCCCTGTTGTTTAGTGAATATTTTGAAAAGCCAATTTAACATATTTTCTCAAGTTTTATCTGACAGAGCACTGAGAACTGTGTTTCCAAAACATTTCGAAAATAAATTCTAGAAATTAAAATCACGTACCTTGTGGGGATTTGTTCAGGCATTTTGAAAGTAAGCAATGAATATGGACCAAAATTTAAGTGTTCAGAGCTCTTATTTAAAGGAGGATCTACCTTAATTTCGACAAATGTTGAACTAAACAAAAAAGGGACCACATTGTGAACACTTAAAAGTATTTTCAGTCACCATCCAAAATTTCTGATTTGTATCCAACTCAACAGACTTATGCACACTGTTGAAATATTTCTGCCCACACTTTCGGGATCAGTCGTTGATTTCTGTAGGAGCTGTTGGTCCATAGATACTTAAGGTTTGTGGCCTACCCTGATTGATGTTACAGTATTACTGTAAAACAGCACCCTCACTTGTTAGGAAAAGGGAAAGACAAGTTTAAGTGTTAAAAAATGTCACTTTTTGATTAAGCCCTAAAGGGGTGTGTGGAAAAATATTTTTAACAAAAGAATAAATCACAAATGCTTTCTGAAGCAATGGGTCAGCAGTGTCAATGGAATCCTCGTCATAGTTCATTTTCTGACATGAAAATGGATGAAAAGCAATAGACACTAACACTTTTTTTATGAAATAAAAGGTGTAGAAATAAGAAGCGTGCAAGGATCTTATAATTTTTGAAGAAATGTCTCAATTTCTGCTGCAACTTAGTTCCTTCTCTGATTAATTTCTTCCCCAGACTTCCTCATATGAAAGCTGTGGGTATGCCCCAGGAGAAGCAGACCATGATGCTGATGAGAAGAGCGCCCTCGCTTCCTTCAAACTGGAGAGAAATCGAAGGAAGATGGAGGACAAGATCCGATGGGTCTTCACTTCATGAGAATGTCAAGGAGAGGAAGTAACTCAGATAGATGCCAGTCCTCACCTCCATCACTGAGGAGGAACAGTTTCCAAGATTGCATGTGGGCTCCTCATCGGAATCTTAGGCATTGATTCACAAAAAGGCAAGGAAAGGACTCAGGCTTCTCAGAGATGCAGTTCCTTGCTTCCACCTTAGGTCGAGTTCGGGCGGCCTGTTCTTGACACAGGTTTCTTGTTCTCGCGCTCGAATGGCGGGAACATGACTCAAGAACACTGTTCTTGGAACAGGATCACACACCATCTCCTTGTCAGGGTTTTACAGGAACACACGGAAAAACTCGTGAGATTTTGATTTTTGAACAGGTGCAAAAAGTAGAGAGATGGCTTCCAAAGCCATAGACAATGGGAAGTTTTGCAAAATTAACATTAATTATTTTCTGTAACACAGAAATGAATGTTCCTGTTTGTATAGACAAGAATTCAGCCCATCCAAACATTAACTCTCGAATAACGTAGCCTGCATGGACGCCGCCAGTTGCATGTCACAAACTACCAGCGATAACCGGTTGTTTGTTCCTGGCGTTCGAGCGACCGACCCACGAACAACAAATAGAGCTGTTTTTCTGAACACACGGGAACAAACTGCCCGAACTCGGTCCTCGTGATGGAGCAAGTCTATCTGCATAAATACACTACTCAAAGGATTCTACGTAGCGATTAATAATTTAAACAAATGGTATTCACATCATAAAAAATGAGCGTCATTTAATTTGGCTATTTTCTGGCATCAAAACAAGAAACTTCCGCTACAGAGTACTGAAGTCTCACGAGACTGAAAAAAAACTTTGGTCAGCACTTTGTCCAGGTCTTTTATGGCCCTGAAAATGATGTATAAAAAATTGAGTTTTAACCAAGCAATGTGAGGGCGCTGTGTATGAGTTACAATGATATCACAGTAACCTGGGGGCGCTTTTTATGAGTTACAAATGTAGAATGATATCGTGGTAATGTGAGGGCACTGTTTATGAATATATTCCGGTAATGTGAGGGCAGTATTTGTGATTGTGAATCACAAAAATGAACCACTTTGAAGATGTATGTATCTCAGCATGAAAAAATTGCATGTAACCGTTGAGACCCTTTTATTGAGTAAAGTAATGCACCATCTGACTTGTATCTGTTGGCAAAATGCAAATCTTCCCCCAAATGACACATTTTTATAATTATCTGTAAAAATGATGATTGATGCAAAAAATCAACTTTGTGGTTGTCAGATCATTAAAAAAAAAAACAGCTTCACAGTTTTCCAAAACCTAAACAAAAAATGGTAAGAGGTCCAATATTTCGGTCCCTTTTGCTCAAAATGCCCTTAAGTACATTTTACCACAACAGGATTGTATAGTACTGGCCAGTTTCATTCATGTCATTGTACCCCCCCAAACTCTCTAAGACACTCCCAGTGTCTCACCCCCTTGCCTCAGAGTCATCCCATCCTTAATTTATGCGCAAAGAGAGTGACAGGTGGCCATTTTGAAGTTGTGCAATACCTAAGCAATACACAGGACCCGATGCTTTTTGACCCTTCAGCTATTTGGGCTCTGAAACACGACTAACCAATTGCGTAGTCGCACATTTTATGGTGCTCAACCAAACATGAACATGAGCTTCAATAAGCAAAGTCAATGAGGTACACACGTGGCTGAAATTTTCAAAGACAAACGTCTGATCCTTCAATTTTTTTTGAGTAGTGTATATGTATATTGGTATACAGTGCAATGCTGCTATAATGAACAGGGCAGGGTCCATACACAATGCCTGGTGTAGCATACGGCCCCAACTATTGCGATTTCATTGGTACTGTTCCAATTGTAGCATTTTCATAGGCCTAAAAATCAAAATGTTTCAATTTCCATAAAAGGGGGCAAAATCCTGGCAAAAAGGGTGCTATTTGCTATTTCCTATGTTGATATGTCAGTTGTTACACATACGTGTGTTTTTGTTCGTACTTTCTTTTGTGGCTGCTTGTTTTGCTGTTGCTCATAACATGACCGTTCCAATTTTGGACTTTATTGACATCACAACTTTTGGGTCACTGTCATCAGTCCTCATTTTTTTTTTTAAAGCAAATTTGTGATGTTCTTTAAAAGTGAGCAGAAAATTTGGGAGCCAAGAGGCATGTTCCATATACCAAATTGTTAAGTATAGTGGCAAACTGTACTTGCATCCAAATTATTCATGACTTGAGAGGTAATCTGTAAATTGAAGACAATTGGTCAGTTTGCTTTTGAAGAAAGACTATTCACCGTTAATTTGTTTTCTTTTCATCGTAACGCATTGACTCATACATGTATTAATGCACATCTAAAAACATTCATGTTTACATTTAAGTTATCAAGACTCCATAGAATGTACATGTATTTCAAAATTTGCAAATAATTACTATTAGGAAAGACTCTAGACACTTTGATACTACTTCGTTTGAGGACTAAAAGCTTATAATATTGCATGCTTTTAAAAAATGAATGGTGTTCCCATTCAGGCAGCCAAAATACCAGCACTGTTCAGTCAACCCAGTGGCTGTTCTGAACCTCACTTTTAACAAGTTCGCCCCCGAACAGATATATTGACTAATGGGAAGCGCCACCAACGTAGTGCTGGATAGCTCAGTTGGTAGAACACTGGTACAGTGTTCCATAGGTCCCAGGTTCCAATCCCACTCCAGTCAATTTCTTTGTTCATCTTTATGAGTTTTTCCTGGGACAAAATTCTATATGCATTTTGTGTTTTCGAAGATGTACAGCCACATTGCCAGAGCATTAGAAAAAAGTCTTTCACTTAAAATTATCACAAAACTGCAAGTTGCAAATGGTTGGCTCAGTGCTAAAAGGTCATTCCTGCAAAAATCTAATTTTTGAAAGCACTCTAAGGGCCTTAATCTGTGCAGGAAAGAAATTTTGGATTTAAACAGTTTTTTATTTTTTAGTATGTTTAAATTTGAACCAATTCTGTTTCCCAAATTAATGTCTAAAAACAATATTTTTCACTAAACACCTAGTGCATTTAAGGACCTTTCAGCACTGACATAAAATTTGTTTCATTTGAAAAATATTACCTTGCAAAAATGCTTTGTAAAACAACCACCATTTATTGCTATAACCAGCTAATTTCTATTTGCAAGTGAAATAAATGCTCATTTATTTAAACCAGCAGAACAACTTGTTTGTACATGTATATCTATTTGTAGAACTGCTGTACTTTGCCACTTAACCCTTCTCCTAATCTGGACCATTTTACACTGCCAGAGTTTAAGGCACATCTGTTTCCATCTTTAGATTTTACATTACAGCCTCATTCTTCATGGAAGCCCTACCAGTCTTAAACATCTTCCAAGCTCCTTTATAAAGTTCCCTCCTGGAGCCTTTTAGTCTTAATCCTATAAGGGTTCCAATAAACCCACTGGCAATATTGAACA